TTCTATGAACACAATTAAAACCCCCTCTTTCTTGTGTTTTCTCTACTTTCATACTGGAGATCCAAAATTATTTTCACTATTGCATGTAGCATTGGAATCCCTATCTGTATCGATTCTACTTCTAACAAATCTCCTTTTGATAGGGATTCTGGGAACTATGTTAGGGTTCTTGTCGATATTGGTCTACTGAAATAGTTACTTTATAAAATTCTAGTTGAACGAATTGGCTTTGCTTTTTTCATTGAAATAGAATATGAGAATTTACCTCAATTTTGTCATCATTACAATGCCATTGGGCATGATGATATCACCTGTAGAAGAAAGGCAGATCTAGTGAAAGGAAGTCAAAATAATAAATATGTAGAACCTTTAAATTCATTTGTGGGAATAGGAAATCAACAAGTTCCTATTGTTGATCACATTGTGGTTGAAAAAGGAAATGAGTTACTACAATGAGAAACCATTGGGGTACAAAATCCTAATAATGTTTGTGAGATACTGATTGATCCATGCCTGATTAGGATGACTGAAGTTCAAATCCCATTGAAGAATCCTAATTTTGAAGGGGACATTGAAAATGACAGTCTCAAAGGGGATAAAGGATAACAATAGCCCAAGAAGGAATACAGGTAGCAGTTTTCCCGATGAAAGCTCCACTGATGAATCCAAATTTGTTAACGCTTCTTTGGCGCATGGTTCTGATGAAATAGTTGTTGATACCCTTGATTCAAATTCTCATTTTCTCAAGAAATCTTGGGATAATTTGGCTAAAGGAAACGATGGTAATGATGCATTGATTGACGATTTAGCTGAAGGAACATATTTGGTGCAATTTCAGATGGCTGTTAGCAAATCTCAGAAAAATAAAGTGAGGCAAAAATCCAAGTCAGTGAAGTATATTCTACCATATCAAAAGTTAGTCCTTGTAACTTGTCCTTATGAAGTGCTTATTCTGGAAAGTAAGGGGTCTAGCCACACACACCCCCTACTAGATTGGATTTTAAAATTTTATTAAAGGATTAAAATCTTAACTTTTGTTTTATTGTAGAGTCGTGGATGTCTCAAGTGAAATTCCCTCAGAGATCCTAGAATTCCCTTGACTTTAAGGTTTTTGTTGTTAATTCTAGAGAAGGTTTGGAACTAAATTTGTGGTGCATTTGTAGGAAATCTTTGGATCCTATTTTGGTTGTTGTTTTGGATCAACATGTCTCTTTTACAGTTACCATTGATTATTTGAAGCTTGGTTTCTTTGTTGTATATGCTTCGAATTGTAGCATTTCTAGAAGATTTTATGGGAAGATCTTTCCATTATTCAGAATAATCACTTTGATGTCCTGTGGTGTTTTATCGGGGATTTCAACTCCATTCTTAAGGTGCACGAGCATAGAGGAAGACACGGTCCTAATAAGTCTCATATGAAAGATTTCGAATCATGGTCTAATCAAAATTAATTATTGGAGATTCCTTCCAAGGGTGCCATTTTCACTTGGTCCAATGGCCAAAGCGGTCATAATTATTTGGAAAGGAAGCTCGGTAGAGTTTTCTATAATAACAATTGGATAAATTTTACTCATTATGTGTTTGTTTCTTCTTTTCCTAAACTCGGGTTAGATCATCATTCGTTTTTATTTGATTCTATTTTCATTCCTCATAGACGGGTCTCCCCTCCCATTTCTCGAAGTACTCTGATGCTTCTGGTCAAGTTTTTAATCTCTCAAAGTCTTTCATTTACTTTGGAGCCATCTCGAATAGGAGGCTTGATAGAATCATTCGAATAACGGGTTTCAACAAGGGTTCTTTTCCTTTTACTTATTTAGGTGTCCCTATCTTCAAAGGCAGAGTCAAGGTTATTTATCTTCAAGCTCTCGTCGACAAAAGTATATCCAAGCTTGTTGCTTGAAAAGGAACCTTACTCTCTAGGGATGGTCGTGTTACGTTGGTCAAAAGTTCTACCCAAAGTATGCTCACTTATTCCATATCGCTCTACTCTTGGCCTATTTCTTTGTTGTGGAAGATTGAAAAAGCCTCTCACAATTTTATTGTCTGGAAATATTGATAACAAGAAATTAATTATTGTGGCCTGGAAACATTTGTGCCAGCCTCTTGCACATGGTGGGTTAGGTATTAGGTCTTTATTGCTGAAGAATTGTGTCTTACGCCTTCACGAAATTATCAAGCATCATATTTTCTCCTCTTTATGGGTTAGCATAAAATAGGAGTGGAGTATGCTTCAAAACCACATTTCATGGTCTCTTGGCACCGGTGTTTCTATCCATTTCTGGTCGGACTTGTGGTATGATTGTCCTCTTATTGAAGACACTGGTCTTAATTTCCTTTTGTCTCATAATATTGACCCTTACTCTACTGTTTCAAAGTTTATTCAGGAGGGTTAGTGGGTGTTGCCTATCAACTGGTCCATTTGGTTTCCCAATCTTTTACAAAAGTTGTTATTAATTCCTGTACAGCTTGCTGCTGATTTTCGGTTCTGGTCTGGTACTGAGTCGGGTTGTCTCAGCTTTAAAGATGCTTATCTTCACAAAATTCCTTGTACTTCTAAATTGGTCTGGTCGAAAACTATTTGGCACCGTGACATCCCCCGGCGAGATCGATTTTTGTTTGGAAGCTCATGCATGATAAAGTTCTGATGGACGATATCGCTAGTCGTAGAGGTATCCATTTGGTCTTCAGATGCAGTTTGTGTTACTGCGAGTTAAAATCTACCTCTCACTTATTTTTTCAGTGCAATTTTGCTAAAAAGTTGTGGCTTTGGCTTGTTCGTTTACTTAATTTAAACTGTTGTTCGGATTCTCTGATATCTTGGTGGCAGTGCTGTAATTCTGGATATTCTAAGCAATCTTGTTTGGTTCTTTCCTCCGCGGTCACCTTCTTGCTTAACCAAATCTGGTTTATGAGAAACAACTCGAGACATAACATCATTCAGCCTTGTTTGTGTTTGGCCATCAACAACATCTTATCCTAGATGAAGCTTTCCTCTAATAATTCTTCTTTCACTTCCTCGGGTTCCATACATGACTTTGTCATTTTAAAAGCTTTTGGCGCTTACATCCGCCCCCCGAAAGCTCCATCCATTAGAGAGGTGATTTGGAACCCTCCTTGCCTTGGTTGGACCAAGTGCAACTGTGATGGTGCCTTTTTTCCGTCTTCTACTACTTCAGGTTGCGGTGGTATTTTATGTAATCACAAGGGTGACTTTCTCTTGGATTTTGCGGAATGTTTCAATTTTGGGTCCTCCTCTTATGCTGAATTTAAGACTGTCCTAAGGGTTGTCGAAGTTGCAAAGAGTAATGGTTGAAACAAGCTCTGAATTGAATCAGATTCACTCTTAGTGGTCAAAGTTTTTTCCAACCATCCTTTGGTGCTTTGGAGGTTTAGAGCCCCATGGGCTAAGTGTAGAGATCAGTCTAATTTCACTAATCTTTTTATCACTCATATTTATAAGGAGAGTAATAGTTGTGCGGACTTTTTTACAAATATAGGTCTCGCTTCTGACCTGATTAGATTTTTTGATTTCATCCCTTCTAGAATTAAGAAATATTTTGTAAAGAACATGTTAGGTTTACCTTTTTTTAGGTTCTCTTCTTTCTTTTGATGGGATTTTTAACTCCCTTTCTCTTATATAGTGTTTCTTTTTGCAATATATGAGCCTTATTAAAAAAAATATTTTTAAAATAAATCTTTCTTTTCTAAAAATATACATGTTATATATATATATATATATATATATATATATATATATATATATATATATATATATATATATATATATATATATATATATATATATATATATATATATATATATATATATATATATATATATATATATATATATATATATATATATATATATATATATATATATATATATATATATATATATATATATGAAAGACTAAAAATCAAAACTCAATCAAACATACGCATATTTGTAAATTTTCATTTTTTTTTTTTTGTAATCTTTGAAATTGTAACGAAGATTAGTATAGGTGAAGTAGCTCAATTAGTATATGCTAATTGATTTAAATTTATGTATCTGTATGGTTTAGAGTTCAATCTCAACCAATAATATTTATTTATATTTATGCATTAATATAAATAAAGTAGTGATATTTATAAAATAACAACTTTTAAAAAAATATATATCAATATAAAATAACAACAAATTCCAATAAAATAGTCCTTAATATTTAATAATATTCATCAATTTAATATATTTTCAAAGGCTAAATTAAAAATATTTCATATATAAAATTTGAAAATAGATTAATTCATTGTTAGAATTATTTGATGTCAGAACTTATCCCAAATCAAATTAAATTGGTGGTAAAAAAAACAATATTTTATTTCATATAAACTCTATTTGAAAAGACTATTTTCCAACTTATAGCTTATATAAATTATAAGTTCATATGACAATAAATTCATACGACGATATGTAGGCCTTTTATTTACTTTAGTGGTTTTTCACATATTTGGATAAATTCATTAAATTGACTAATATTTTAATTTAAGAAAAAGTATTAAAAATAAAAAAATTAATTTTGATTAAATATTCTTTTTAGTTTCGAATGTTAATTTTAAAATTCATTTTAGTGTCATAAATAAGACGAAAAAATATCAAATATGATATATTTTAAAAAGTTAAAAAACTAATATAAATCTATTAAAATTAAAGGACCAAATGAACGCTAAAGCTAACCTACTAAACCAAAAAATATATTAAACTTTTAATTTTTTTACAATTTTTAGATTTACTTTTTTTTTACTATTATAAATATGAGATATTGTTCCACTATTACAAATATGAAATATTATATTGACAAAAAAAAAGAGATTGATATACATCAACAATTTTGAAATATTACATTGTTTGA